CTATAGTATTGTCTATAGCCTGGACTATAGTTTTGTCTATAGTCTGGACTATAGTCTTGTTTATAGTCTGGACTAAAGGCTTGTCTATAGTATTGTCTATAGCCTGGACTATAGTTTTGTCTATAGTCTTGTTTATAGTCTGGACTATTGGCTGGTCTATAGTCTGGACTATAGTCTTGTCTATAGTCTGGACTATTGGCTTGTCTATAGTATGGACTATAATCTTGTCTATAGTCTAGACTATTGGCTTATATATAGTCTGGACTATAGTCTTGTCTATAGTCTGGACTATAGTCTTGTCTATAGTCTGGACTATAGTCTTGTCTATTGTCTGGACTATAGTCTTGTCTATAGTCTGGACTATAGTCTTGTATATAGCCTATAGTCTTGTCTTTAGTCTGGACTATTGGCTTGTCTATAGTCTGGACTATAGTCTTGTCTATAGTCTGGACTATTAGCTTGTCTATAGACTGGACTATATTCTTGTCTATAGTCTGGACTATAGCTTTGTCTATAGTTTGGACTATAGTCTTGTCTATGGTCTGGACTATAGCTTTGTCTATAGGTCTGTAGTCTGTCCTATAGTCTTGTCTGTAGTCTGGTTATATAATCTTCACTATAGTCTGGTCTTTAGTATGATATACATATAGTCAGGTCTACAATCATGATCGTATAAGCTTATCTGATATCGGAACCGATCCTGTTAAAGTTCTGGTCTCTATCTTGTTCTATAGCCTGGTCTGTAGTTTGTTCTATATAGTCTATTCTGCACAAACATTTCTCATATACAGTATCTCATTGTCTCTTTTGCCTGTTGAAAACTTTTCTTTTTTTGTGTCTGCTGTCTGTCTGTCTCAGCTGCTGAAAAATGTATATTTTGTTTTTTCTGTTCGCAAGTAATTATGGTGTCAAGTGAAGTTAACAAGACATTCAATTGCAAGAATAATTTACAAAGAATTTACATTTACAAATTTGTTGATGTAATTTTTGTGTTATTTACCTTGAATACGAGAATCTAAATAATTCAAGTCATTATTTTAACAAGTTTTATATTAAGATCAATCTTTCTAAATCTTACAAAAATTTTTAAAACTAATTTCAGCCAAAAAAAAAAATCTTAATTCATAAAAATTTTTCTGTTTTAACAATTTAATTAAAAGTGACAATTCCAGTTAATTAGTGACAGTGGCCATAACATATCATATTTCATAATCTTTTGGACCACAAAAGAAAAACAGAAGACACATTGTAAATTCTTCTTAAATATCAGATTTCTGCGGCTAACAAGAAAATTAATTTTGGACGCTTCTTTTTTATTTTAAATCTCTGAAAAACAAATGTTTAGTGGGTTTAAGACCACGAATCGCTGACAAAACACAAAACAGGAAATAAATTTCGTTTTTCAAAAGAAATAAACTTTAGTTAATCTTAAATTTGTTTCACGAAAAATCAGCTTAATTTGTTTGTTTAGAAATGTTAATGTTCGAAAACAGTAAGGGGCAACTGTAACTTTTCTAAGCTTGCGAGAGAAGCAGCTATAAACAGCTAAAGTTTCTCACCAGGTTGGAGTTCTAGAGCTGTGTCTGCTTCTTAGTTTTCTTTGCTTTAACCATCCCTTCCTTTCCCTTGGCACCCGCATATAATATTTCAAAATTTGCCCACTACTGCTCTAAAGTGTTATTACTCAAACACATGCAAACCCGTGAATACCCCCTGTTGTTTGCATACAATTAAGTTGTTACATGTTTTAATTAGTATTTTATTTATGTTTTGCTCTATTGTTCAAGCAACAGCAACTCTTATTGCTGTTGCTGCTGTTTTAACTCATGTTGTTATTATTGCAATTCTTTTGAAAATGTTTACTCAACAGCTTCATAAATACTATTTTTTTCTGTAATTTTTCTTAGACCATAAACTTACGAAAATGTTCAAAAGAAATTTGGTTTTTATTTCTAAAGTTTTTTCCAGTTAATGTTGTGTATTATTTTAGCCAGGTTAAAATAATGTTAAATGTTAAACAAATAATCTTTTGATTGTTTGCTTTCAATCAGGGGTGTAATGAACATAAAGATTATAAAAAAAGTTTTTTGTACTGAAATAAAAAATCACGTAATTTTTCGTTAAACATATTTAACAATAATTTTGTAATAGTTAAGGAATTTGAACAAATTAAGGTGGTCAAAATAAGAAGAATTTCTAGTCTATAATTTGAACTATAGATTAGGCTATAGTCCAGACTATAGATTAGGCTATAGTCCAGACTATAGACCAGGATATAGTCCAGACTGTATACTAGGCTATAGTCCAGACTATAGACTAGGCTACAATCCAGACTATAGACTAGGCTATAGGCCAGACTATAGACTAGGCTATAGTCCAGACTATAGACTAGGCTACAGTCCAGACTATAGACAAGGCTATAGTCCAGACTTTAGACAAGGTTATAGTCCAGACTATAGACAAGGCTATAGTCCAGACTATAGACTAGGCTATAGTCCAGACTATAGACTAGGCTATAGTCCAGACTATAGACCAGGCTATAGTCCAGACTATAGACTAGGCTATAGTCCAGACTATAGACTAGGCTATAGTCCAGACTATAGACTAGGCTATAGTCCAGACTATAGACTAGGCTATAGTCCAGACTATAGACTAGGCTATAGTCCAGACTATAGACTAGGCTATAGTCCAGACTATAGACTAGGCTATAGTCCAGACTATAGACTAGGCTATAGTCCAGACTATAGACTAGGCTATAGTCCAGACTATAGACTAGGCTATAGTCCAGACTATAGACTAGGCTATAGTCCAGACTATAGACCAGGCTATAGTCCAGACTGTAGACTAGGCTATAGTCCAGACTATAGACTAGGCTATAGTCCAGACTATAGACCAGGCTATAGTCCAGACTGTAGACTAGGCTATAGTCCAGACTATAGACTAGGCTACAGTCCAGACTATAGACTAGGCTATAGTCCAGACTATAGACTAGGCTATAGTCCAGACTATAGACTAGGCTATAGCCCAGACTGTAGACTAGGCTATAGTCCAGACTATAGACTAGGCTATAGTCCAGACTATAGACTAGGCTATAGTCCAGACTATAGACTAGGCTATAGTCCAGACTATAGACTAGGCTATAGCCCAGACTATAGACTTGGATATAGTCCCGAATATAGACTAGGTTATAGTTCAGACTATACTTTAGGGTATAGTCCATGCTATAGTCTACACTGTAGAGTAGACTATAGTCCAGATTATAGACTAGGCAATAGTCTGGACTATAGTTTTGTCTACACTCCAGAATATAGTCTTGTCTATATATAGACTATAGACTTGTCCATATTTCAGACCATAAACTTGTCTATAGTCCAAATTATAGACTTATGCATACTCCAGACTATAATCTTGTCTATAGTCCAGACTGTAGTATTGTCTATAGTCCAGACTATAGTCTTGTCTACAGTCCAGACTATAGTCTTGTCTATAGTCTTGTCTATAGTCCAGACTATAGTTTTGTCTATAGTCCAGACTATAGTTTTGTCTATAGTCCAGACTATAGTTTTGTCTATAGTCCAGACTATAGTTTTGTCTATAGTCCAGACTATAGTTTTGTCTATAGTCCAGACTATAGTTTTGTCTATAGTCCAGACTATAGTTTTGTCTATAGTCCAGACTATAGTTTTCTCTATAGTCCAGACTATAGTTTTCTCTATAGTCCAGACTATAGTTTTGTCTATAGTCCAGACTATAGTTTTGTCTATAGTCCAGACTATAGTTTTCTCTATAGTCCAGACTATAGTTTTCTCTATAGTCCAGACTATAGTTTTGTCTATAGTCCAGACTATAGTTTTGTCTATAGTCCAGACTATAGTTTTGTCTATAGTCCAGACTATAGTTTTGTCTATAGTCCAGACTATAGTTTTGTCTATAGTCCAGACTATAGTTTTGTTTATAGTCCAGACTATAGTTTTGTCTATAGTCCAGACTATAGTTTTGTCTATAGTCCATACTATAGTTTTGTCTATAGTCCAGACTATAGTTTTGTCTATAGTCCAGACTATAGTTTTGTCTATAGACCAGACAATAGTTTTGTCTATAGACCAGACAATAGTCTTATGTATAGTCCAGACCTTAGACTTGTCTGCACTATAGACTAGTCTATATTCTGTTCTATTGTTGCTTCATGGGAAAAAAATTCTTAAAAATTTTATTATTTGTATTCTTTAATGTAATCAAATCATTAATTTAAGTCCAAAAATTCAACGCATTCTATAAGTTTTTGATTAAAGTAATTTACTTTGTTGTGTTCAGTGAAAATGTTGTTGACCATGAAACGTATATTTGTATAATTTGTTTTGTTAATAAAAATTCTTTAAATAACCGGCCACCTTAATGCGTCTAAAACGTTTAAAATTTAACGTTAGAATTGATTACACACCAAAAAAAAAAAAAAAAAGCCTAGCAATATGTATTGCAACATTTAATGAGTTTAATGCTTAAGCTAAAATAAATAAATAAAATAATTTACAAAAAAAATTAAAGTTTTTATAGAAATTCTTTAAACAAATTAAGTAAAAATTACAAAATAAACTAATTTTAAAAAAGGTGTGCCCCAGTATGTGAATAGGAATTGAAATCTTAGAAATTGCAAAATAACTAGAGTTTGAAAGTATGAAACTAATTTTGAAATCAATTAGTAAGGACAAAAACCATTTAGTTTAGTTAAGTCATTGGTTAAGTTGTTGAAGGTTGGAAAGTTCTTTGAAATTGTAGTTGTTTTGTATGGAAATCTTTTTTCCCAAACTTTTTAATTTTTCAAGTTTTATGGATTTCATATTTAAACATGTTTTGTCGGATTTAAGTGTAAATCATAATTAACCCCCTTAAGGCTTAGACACAAACCACTATTTGTTCCCAACACTTTTTTGCAAGCTCGATTTTTTTTTCTTAATAAAATGTTAAAAATATTAAGATTTTTTTGTTAAATAAATTTTTAGTTATTATTGAGTGTCGTAAAGAATTACCTTTGGTACTTCATTGCAAGGCCCACTATGTGGTCAAAGAAACTGAAAGCTAAAACTTTAGAGAACAGCGGGTGTTATGGGTTGTTTTTTTCCTAATAAAAATACTCAAGTTTTTAAATTTTTAAATAAATATTTTTTTTTTTATATGAATAAAATATTACAAAATTATAAGTTTATGAATGTGTGAAAAAGGCATCTGGGTCAACTGTTTATAATTAGAGGAACATGCAAATGTTTAAGACAAATTATTAAAGGAAAATGTATTGAACACAATGCTGTTTTCATTCAGCAGTTACCCGTGTTCCCAGTTAAAGGAAATTGTAGGAAGAGGTTTAAGAATTTAGTTATTTTTCTTTATAATGAAATTTTAAACCCTATTTTTCACTATTTTAATGTTTTTAAACTTTCCCGCTAAAATTTTAAAATCCCAGTTTTGGGAATTTTCAAAAAGTTTTTAGGAATTAAATTATTTTTCATAGATTTTTTTTTAAATGTTAAGGAATTAAAATATTTTTCTTTATAATTAAAATTTTCACTATTTTAATGTTTTTAAACTATCCCTGCTAACATTTGAAAATCCCAATTTTGGGAATTTTTGAAAAGTTTTTAGGAATTCAAATATTTTTCATTGAAATAATATTTCAAACAAGTTTTTCACTATTTTAATGCTTTTTAACTTTCTCCGTTAAAATTTCAAAATCCCTCTTTTGGGTATTTTCGAAAATTTTTTGGGAATTATAAAAATGTTCTTCATTAACTTGGAATTTTTAATGTTAATCACTTTTTCTTAACATTAAAAGTTTTTAACGGCATTTAAACTTAATCCCAGTTTAAAATTAACAATCCCGGTTTGGGATTTTTTGTAAAAAGTTTAGGAATTTTATGATTTCTCTTTAAAATGAAATTTTATTACTTTTTGTCACATTTTACGTAGTTTTAAAATTTTCCCCGCTAAAATTTTAACATCCCATTTTTGGGTATTTTCAGAAAATATTTAGGATTTATGAAATTTTTTTATTTAACATAGAGTTTTTAATGATTATTAATTTTTGTTAAAATAAAAAAGGTTTTAAAGGCATTTAAACTTAATCCCAGTTTAAAAATAACAATCCCGGTTTGGGATTTTTTGTAAAAAGTTCAGGAATTTTATAATTTTTCTTTAAAATGAAATTTTATTACTTTTTGTCACATTTTACGTAGTTTTAAAATTTTCCCCGCTAAAAATTTAAAATCCCATTTTTGGGTATTTTCAGAAAATATTTAGGAATTATGAATTTTTTTTATTTAATATAGAATTTTGAATGCTTATTACTTTTTGTTAAAATAAAAAAGGTTTTAAAGTTAATTTTATGATTTTTAGTAATTATAAGTATATTTAACATTTTTAACGGAATTCCTGGATAAATTTTAAAAATCCCACTTTTGGTAATTTTTAAAAAAATTTGGGAATTTAAATTTTTTTGGTGTTTATGAAATTTTATGTACTTTTATGAATTTTTAAATGAGATAATATGATTTATGTCTAAAAATTTCACTTCCCGTTATTTGGGGATTTTCAAAAACTTTTTGGGAATTTGATTTTTGTTGTTTTTAAAGAAGTTTTGCTTACTATAGATGATTTTTAATCAAACCTGCTCAAAAATTTACAATCCCAGTTGCTGGGGATTTTGAAATTTTGTTTTGGGAATTCAACTTTTCTTACTTTTTAAGAAGTTTTATTTAATCTTATGTATTTTTAAGCGATATTATTTGATCCCCATGTAAAAATTTTAAATCCCCAGTTTTTGGAAATTTTCAAAAAATGTTTGGGAATTACATTTTTCTTCTTTTTAATGAAAATTAGCTTACTATCCATGATTTTTATTAATACCCATGAAAAATTTACAATCCCAGTTAATGGGGGTTATGAATTTTTTTGGGAATTAAAATTTTCTGAGATTTTACATTCTTTTTGTGAATTTTTAGACGTTATAATGCGATATCTGTCGAAAAATTTTAATTCCCCGTATTTGGGCATTTTCACAAACTTTTTGTGAATTTGCTTTATGTTCATTTTAAAGATGATTTTTATACATTTTTTAAATTTTCTTTTGGAATTCAATTTTTCTTTGTATTTATGAAATTTTACATGAATTGAGTTCCCGGTATTTGGGATTTTTTTTCAAAACATTTTGGGAATTAATTTTTTTTTGTGTTTTAAGAAGTTTTACTTACTATGGATGATTTTTATTCATTTCCTTCTAAAAATTGACAATCCTAGTTTATGGGGATTTTGAAATTTATTTTGGGAATTCACATTTTTTTTGGTATTATGAAATTTTACATAGTTTTATGATAATTAAGCGATATTATGTTATTTCCGTAGAAAATTTGACTTCCCGGTTTTTGGGAATTTTTGAAAACTTTTTGGGAATTCAATTGTTATGGATTTTTAAGCGTTATAACAGGATTGAATTGAAAAATTTTAAATTCTTCAATAAATTCTTAACAATTTGCAAATATTTCTTTAAGGATTTAAAGCTAAAGAAAATTTTCAAATTAAATTTTGTTAAATTTCGTTTTTTTATATAAAATAATAGTATTTAAAACAAAACAATGTAAATAAAAATTGTAAAAAAAAAATCTAACAAAATGTCATCTACCAAAACCTCAAGTGAAAAACTACGTGAAAAGACGTTTCTAAAACATTTGCAAAAACGACGCAAAAGAAAAATTCCCCTTTTAAGGGGAATTTATCACAATAAAATGTTAAAAATCTTAGTGATACTAGTATGCTCAGTACAGCTGCTGCAACATTTAAATATCCTGCATATAACAATAGAGGCAGCGATCTCTAATCAAACTCTAACCACAAAGGTGGCAACCACAACTCCCACTATACCCTTAAAGGGTAATAAAATCAATGAAACAAATGTAAATCAATTACGCAATAAAACCATGAGACGTAGTATTAATGTAAATAGTAGTTTTAATCATCAAAATGAAATTGTACAAAATAAACCTGAACATTCAATACAAACAACAAAACGTAAGCTAAGACGTAAACCTTTAGTAGCGGGAGGAGGACGTATACAGCATAATCGTACCCATCACAACATGGGTCCGACTAGATTTAAGGGAAAACGTAGAAAGTATACAAAACCTTCTGCGACGTCCTCCTGGCAGCAACAACAACAGCAGCAGCAGCATCAACATCATAGACAAAATAATACAAATTTATTTAAACCAAAGAATTATACAACCATAAGAACTACCGCCTCCACTTCAATATCCTCCTCCACCTCTAGCAGTTATCCTTTCATGACGCAACAGCAACAACAATTCTCCTATACAAATCGTTCGTATCAGCGACAACATCAATATCAACAACAAAGTGTACAAATTCCCTCCTCAACCATACGAGTCTCCTCTACCATTGATCATCATCATGTGCAGCAGCCTTCATCGTTTGATAATTCTACTCGGTATTATCCCTCGACCAATATTAAACATTATATTGGTGTTAATTCGACCAGTGTACATGATATACCCTTTCAGCAACAAAATGTTGTTATACAGGGTAATACAGATATTGTAGTTTATCGTAATATTGGTCCTGTGCCCTGTCCTCCAGGGGTACGTTTAGTACCGCATCGTGTTTTGACTGCGACACCAGATCCACGTTTACATCGCCCAAGGGGTAAGCTTATATTTAATTAAGGGATTTATTAAGTTAAAATAAGAAAAAGCTTAGATTACTAAAATCCCAGTTCTGGGAATTTTGCGAAATAATTTTAGGAATTCTGAGACTTTTTGGACTTTATGAAATATTAACATAATTTTACAATTTCTTGAGGTTTTAACCTTAGTTAAGTGAAAAATTATTAATTTTCTAGTTAAAATTTAAAAATTCCAGTTTTGGGTATTTTTGAAATCATTTTGGGAATTGTGGGATTTGTTAATTTTCATCAAATTTCAATTAATAAAGTTATTTAACGCAAAATTTTTGCTTAAATTACATTTCCCAGTCAAAATTTCAAAACCCAGTTTTGGAAATTTTTCAAAAATATTTTGGGAATTCTAGGATTTTTTGAATTTTATGAAATTTGCAACTAGTTCTTTAATTTTTCTAAGATTTAACTTTAGTTAAGTAAAAAATTATAAATTTTCTAACAAAAATTTAAAAAATCCCAGTTTTGGGAATTTTTGAAAACATTATGGGAATTTTCGGATTTGTTAGTTTTCTTTAAATTTCAATTAAAAAAATTATTTAGAGCAATTTTTTGCCTAATTTACATTTTCCAGTCTAAATTCAAAAATCTCAGTTTTGGTGATTTTTAAAAATATTTTGGGAATTGTGGGATTTGTTAATTTTCATCAAATTTCAATTAATAAAGTTATTTAGAGCAATTTTTTTTTGCTTAATTTACATTTCCCAGTCTAAAGTCGAAAATCCCTGTTTTGGAAATTTTCAAAAATATTTTGGGAATTCTAGGATTTTTTGATTTTTATGAAATTTGCAACTAGTTTTTTAATTTTTCTAAGATTTAACCTTAGTTAAGTTAAAAATTATAAATTTTCTAACAAAATTTAAAAAATCCCAGTTTTTGGGAATTTTTGAAAACATTATGGGAATTTTCGGATTTGTTAGTTTTCTTTAAATTTCAATTAAAAAAGTTATTTAGAGCAATATTTTGCCTAATTTACATTTTCCAGTCTAAATTCAAAAATCCCGGTTTTGGAAATTTTCAAAAATATTTTGGGAATTGTGGGATTTGTTTAATTTTCTTTAAATTTCAATCAATAAAGTTATTTAGAGCAATATTTTTGCATAATTTCCATTTCCCAGTCAAAATTTCAAAATCCCGGTTTTGGAGTATTTTCAAAATTTGATGGGAATTCTGAAATTTTTTGGGTTTATGAATTTTTAAACTAGTTTTTTTATTTTTATAAGTTTTAACCTTAGTTAAGTGAAAATTCTTAATATTCTAGTTAAAATTCAAAAATCCTGTTTTTTTTTTGGGGATTTTTGAAAACATTATGGGAATTTGGGATTTGTTAGTTTCTCTTTAAATTTTAAATATAAAAGTTATTTAGAGCAATATTTTTCGCTTAATTTACATTTCCCAGTCAAAATTTAAAATACTGGTTTTGGGATTTTTTCAAAATTTTATGGAAATTCTGAAATTTTTTGGGTTTATGAATTTTAAACTAGTTTTTTAATTTTTCTAAGTTTACCTTAGTTAAGTGAAAAATTCTTAATTTTCTAGTTAAAATTCAAAAATCCTGATTTTTGGGGATTTTTGAAAACATTTTGGGAATTGTGGGATTTGTTATTTTTCTTTAAATTTTAAATACAAAAGTTATTTAGAGCAATATTTTCGCTTAATTTACATTTCCCAGTCAAAATTTCAAAATCCCGGTTTTGGAATTATTTTTACATTTTATGGGAATTCTGAAATTTTTTGGGTTTTATGAAATTGTAAACTAGTTTTTTACTTTTTTCTACGTTTTAACATTAGTTAAGTAAAAATTCTTATTTTTCTAGTTAAAATTCAAAAATCCTGGTTTTTGGCAATTTTTGAAAACATTTTGGGAATTCAGAGATTTTATAGTTTTACGAGTTTTATTAATGTTTTAACAGCAGTCAATTGAAAAATTGCTGATTTTCTATCAAAAATTAAAAAATTCCAGTTTTGGGGGATTTTGAAAAATATTTTGGGAATTGTAGGATTTGTTAATTTCCATCAAATTTCAATTATGAAAGTTATTTCGAGTAATAGTTTTGCTTAATTTACATTTTCCAGTCTAAATTCAAAAATCCCAGTTTTGGAAATTTTCAAAAATATTTAAGAATTCTGGGATTTGTTAATTTTCCTTAAATTTCAATTAATAAAGCTATTTAGAGCAATATATTTGGTAAATTGCCATTTCCCAGTCAAAATTTCAAAATCCCAGTTTTGGGGATTTTTTAATACATTTTGGGAATTACGATATTTTCTCTTTTTTACTAAATTTAAGTTATTAAAGTCATTTTAAATGATAATTTTAATAAATTTACATTTCCCAGTACAAAATCAAAAATCCCAGTTTTGGAAATTTTCAAAAAAATTTTGGGAATTTACGAATTTTTTGTTTTAAGGAAATCCCTTGTTTTTGCAACATTTCTTTTAGGAATTTGTTGTTTTTTAACTAAACTCATCAATTCCATAAATTTAAACATTATACAGTTCCCTGACATTTTTTTTTTCAAATTCTTATTCATAATTGAGTGTTAATATATAATTTTATTACAATAAATTGATGAAGATTAATGATCTTCCACATGTTGAGGAAACTATAAAAGACAACTAGAAAACAGACTTCTTAATCTAAATATTGCAACAATCGCTAGTTGATTACATGTTATGTTTTGAAATCGTTTTCAAAAAAAGGTCACTCGTCGGGTCAAACCAAGTAGGCAATGCATTGGAAAATAATACCTCATAGTATTTTTATAAGATTTTTATAATTTTAATAAAATTCTATTTTTCTTTTACAACTCAGTTTAAATTTGTTTTGATTTATGGTTTAATGTTTTAGTTTCAATATAAGTTTAGAAAAAATTTAAAACATTTTTTTCTAAGATTTATGTTGTATGATAAAGTTAATTGTTTAAGTATTTATTTGAAAAAAATATACTTATTAATAATAGTAAAATAAAAACCAAAACTTAGCTATTGGAAGCTTTATATAAAATTTTTTTTATTAATTTTTTCTTGGTAAAAAAATCAGTTTAGAGAGTTAATTAAAATTGACCAGCTGTATGTTGGCTAAAAAAAGAATAAAATTATATTTAATTAAATAAATATTTATAGAATAATATTAAAAAGTCAGGCTATAAAGCACTATGGGGATTTGTGTTAAATAAATTAATATTATAGTTTAGTTCTAGTTCAGTTGTAGTTCAATTGTAGTTCAGTTCTAGTTCTGTTCTAGTTCAGTTCTAGTTCAGTTCTAGTTCAGTTCTAGTTCAGTTCTAGTTCAGTTCTAGTTCACTTCTAGTTCAGTTCTAGTTCAGTTCTAGTTCAGTTCTAGTTCAGTTCTAGTTCAGTTCTAGTTCAGTTCTAGTTCAGTTCTAGTTCAATTCTAGTTCAGTTCTAGTTCAGTTCTAGTTCAGTTCTAGTTCAGTTCTAGTTCAGTTCTAGTTCAGTTCTAGTTCAGTTCTAGTTCAGTTCTAGTTCAGTTCTAGTTCAGTTCTAGTTCAGTTCTAGTTCAGTTCTAGTTCAGTTCTAGTTCAGTTTTCTAGTTCAGTTCTAGTTCAGTTCTAGTTCAGTTCTAGTTCAGTTCTAGTTCAGTTCGTTCAGTTCTAGTTCAGTTCTAGTTCAGTTCTAGTTCAGTTCTAGTTCAGTTCTAGTTCAGTTTAGTTCAGTTCTAGTTCAGTTCTAGTTCAGTTCTAGTTCAGTTCTAGTTCAGTTCTAGTTCAGTTCTAGTTCAGTTCTAGTTCAGTTCTAGTTCAGTTCTAGTTCAGTTCTAGTTCAGTTCTAGTTCAGTTCTAGTTCAGTTCTAGTTCATTTCTAGTTCATT